ATCGGACTAAAGCGCACCGCTATCTCATCGCACACTATTGACACTAACTTTCTCCGGTCCAATTCCAGTAACTCCGAGAATTGACGCAGTAATTGTTTTATCTTGTTCTCCGTTTCCACTAACATATGTACATTGGCAATAAATTCATCAAATGTTCCAGCTTTGAAGTTGAATGTCGATAAGGAAAAAAAAAAAAAGAGTAACAAAATTAGATACCGAATGAAAGAGTAACAAAAGTATTAAATTATTGAAACACGGGGACCAAATATGAAATTGGTGGAAAGTTGAGGGTGAAAAATATAATTTTCTCAATAAATATATTACCTCTTTATGTGCATCAAGAGATACCGAATGAGTTAATAGCCCATCGCATGCTTCTAACACTAAGTTTCTCGATGGAGATAAATTATGGCCGGATTCAGACAAGTCCGAGAATTGACGCGGTAAGTGAAATATCTTGGCCAGTGCTTCCACAGTAATTTTTTTTCCTACGATAAATTCATTGAATGTTCCGTCTTTGAAGTTGAAATATCGATCGGCCACACTCTTCGGGTCGTGTGGCTCAACTCTAAACGATAATCTCGATGATCCAAATGTGTTATCGAGATAATTTGTGGCTGACAATGGAGAAATAACGTGCTTAATTAGTGCCTCCTTGATATAGCACTTCCACCTTCTCGAAGCTAGCAGAGAAACATTGTATTTCTTAATTTTGGGAAAATTACATTTTTTATCCCTTAAATTTATCTTGATTTCACATTTGGTCCCCTTTGTTTACGAAAAAAAAAGAGTTAGTCCCTCATATTTTAACAATTGAACAGTTTTGGTTCTTACTGTCAATTTTCTGTTAGTACTAACGGGACCAAGCATTTGCCCATCACTGTCTTGACTGACGGACTAACGATAAATTGACAAAATTAAATTACCAAAAATGTTAACTTGCTGAAATATGAAGGATTAAATATGTTTTCTTCGTAAGTTTCTCTAATAATTTCCCTAAGCAACAATCTTGCAACAACCTTCCGATCGTGCGAACACTCCACCGCAACATTTTTTTCTTATATATAATATATATATATATATATATATATATATATATATATATATATATTGCAGTTAATTAAAAAAGGGACATCCAATTTTTTTGTTGACTAAGTTGTTATACCGGTTGGATGGAATAATGTTTTTCAATCAGGTTAAACCTGAAAACGGAGGCATTCATTGTTGGCACGACAACAGCTACATGAAAAATTCTCATTTGTCCTTATCTTCGTTTCTTTGACCTGAGTACACCCATTAATAAGCGTTAGAGCATGAGTAATGCGAGAAACATATTACGAACTTTAACAATGACGGATAGATTTTTAAGTTCGAATTATTTCAAATGAACCTCGTTTATCATTCATAAACAATACGTGAAACACAACGACTCTATAATTTCGAGCAAAATTGTACATGATTAACCATTTCTACGAGATTCATTCTAAAAGTAAATTCTAAGATTACAGGCACATAATACATGAAAATCGATTATAATTACGAAATCAATCTAAAAAATCAAAACAAATAATATGAGAAACAAATTAATTATGAACCTTAACAACATTGATGGATTGGTCTTACAACGCGAATTATATCAAATAATCACCAGACTTCAAATTACGTGAAACACAATGATCCTATCATTTCGAGCGAGACTATAAATGATTTGACATTGCTACGAATATTAAACTAAAATTAAAACCTAAAATTTTAGGCACATAATATATGAACCTCGATTATAATTACGAAATTAATTCGATACAAACAGACAAACAATACGAGAAAAAGATTACGAAACTTATCAATGATGGATAGGTCTTACAAGTTCGAATTATATCAAATAATCATCAGATTTAATTCATAAGCAATTCATGATATACAACGATTCAATACTTTAAATTATGCAAGAGTCACTTTCTCCCTTGTGCTTTTAAATGACGTTATCTTCGGAGGGCAATGGCCACATTTTTAAACAACAATAGTGAGCATCTATATGTGTTTACGTATAATATACCATAAGTCGACGGTGACATTTCAAGAATAGTAATATATATTGCATGATTCATTATTTTCTAATTTATTTTCACTTTTTTTATTGGGACCATCAAATTCAAATTAAACCTTGAGGAATTAAGATAACATGACTTCATGACTTATGTGTATAACCATGATCAAAGAAGTAAAGCTCTTAGTATATATAATAATGTTAATTTATGTTAAATTTAATTTCAATAGAAGAAATTAGAATGTTTTCAGAATATTAAGAAATTTTTAATGAGAAATATTATAGCATTAAAAATATAGAAGTTATAATGTAAAAAAAAAATTAATTGAAAAAAATAGTAACAAATCGATACGTGCAACACACGGGCACTTTTCTAGTAGCGGGCAACTGAATGAAATAAGGAGAGAAAAAAAAGACAGAGAGAGAAAAAAACAAACATACATTCTTCATCATCTCTTTCACTCCGAATCCGAGACTCCCAAAAAGTCCTGTACAACCTCACCATTATCATCTTCATCACTGTTTACAAATAGCATGAAACATATGTACCAAATCCTCAAGAACCTCTCCTCTCAATTCTCGCACTAATGCTGCCACTTCTCCATTTCATTGGTACTCGTCGAATTCTTCCTCCTCCGGTGCATTCTCTTCCTCCGCCTTCAGTGCATTCTCTTCCTTCCCCGGTACATTATCTTCCTATCCAGTGATGTACCTAAAAGTACCCATGTATTCAAGGTAAACTCTAGAGTTTGGACAGTTCAAGTCTTCTAGGTTCATATTTTGATGCATGCCATCGTAGCACTCCTCATGAAGAAGATGGATGCATACCTGGAAATGGACTACAATAGATATGTGCGTGACACATGCTGCAACAAGTGCACCACTTGCATTTGTCATTTTCAATGGATATGTTGACTACAGTGTTTTATAGATTGTGAAATTTGTTTCTAGATAATTACACACATAATATAGACACACCATTGTTTGCATTAGATAACTATGCATATATACGTACACTATTGTTTCCATTAGTTATGTCTAGATAATTACACACACATTATACATATAAACTATCTAAAATGTTACGCAATATATATATATATATATATATATATATATATATATATATATATATATATATATATATATATATAAACTATCTACAATGTTATAAAATAAATTTCTATCTTGAATCTATTGTAAATAATGTTTGAATGAATTAGATAGTTTGATAGCGTTTGAGAGAGTTCTCTACTTCATTTATCATTAAAGTCATTTTCAACTTCAACTTTCATAATATCAAATCATTCATGGACCAATACAAGTTCAAAATATATTTTTTTTTTCCACAAATAAACAAAATTCAATCCATACTCTATTATCTTTTTACATGTCATATATATTAGTATTATACTAGATTACCCAAGTTTCTTCTTCGTCCAAAATAACATCGAAGCCTTAGTAACACCTTGCACATAGTTTTCATAAGGGTATAAAAAAATGTTTATTCGGTTTTCAAGGGTTAAACTGCAAATTCGGGTTCCACTTCAAGAGGATTATATTAACGTATATGCCAATTTCAATAGACAACACGGGGGTGGAATTCAATCATCCTAGAAGGCGATTGCTTGTAGGTCATCGATACTTTGAAGTCCTGTGATCTTATTCCCACATCTTTTGGAGCACTCATCAAAATACGGTAAACATGGCTAAGGTTTTCGTAGTTTGTAATTTTCTTTTTGTCAAGCGAAGTGGGAACTATATATTTAGTTCACGCTATTGCCACTAAACTTGGGGCAGATTGTTCCGAAGGTTTAGTCTTTCCATTTCAATCTGGCAAGTGCCTAATAAAGTTTTGTTCTTCAAAAACAAAAAAA